TGAAGTCAACAGGAAGATTGGTGCTGCATCTGCAGTGATGCAGGTGTTGTACCAGTCTGTCATGGTAAAGAGAGAGCTGAGCCTGAAGGCAAAGCTTTCTCAGACTTACAAGAATATTAATTTACATTAAGAATACAAAAATAATTTTTTTTTGGTACAATTACAGTTTGACTGGGTTTCAATGCATCATGAGCTTAAATTGTCCAGTAAATATGGAAACTTAAAACTAAAGTCAGTTCATATCTTGCAGCTTTATGTTCAATGTTGGGTATTTATTTTTCCCTAAAATAAACCACACAGGAGAAAAGATCATTAAGGTTTTATACGCTGGATGCAGCGGAGAGCAACCGGCCGAGAGCCTGCACAGGCCCTCGTCCGATCTACTCTGGTCTCTCTCCCCCACTACAGCGTTTTTATAGAACCACAGGGAAAAATGAACAAAGAACAATCCATCACTGTCTACACTTAGCCAATAACAGTGTTGCTGCTAGGCTAAGGCGGGACATTCCAAAAAGGAAGTCTTAATTTATGGCTGACAGCCCTAAACTGCTGAGTCACTCAGAAACTAGGACTGTTTTCCTGTTGCCAGGCAGATTATTCCACCAATCCCCACAGCATACCAGAGCTTGACTGAAAGGAAAGAAAAGAAACAGCCCTGAGGCTTACTTTTACAACATGATTACTTAAAAAGGAAAATTTAAAACAGTAAAATACATTTAAAACCCTAACGTTCAAGTATTCGATATTTTTTTTAGTGGTTGAAAATATGGACATCTGATATTATCGGCAGGTATTGGCAAACGTAATATCATAGATGATGCAGTATCTTGTTTTACTAAGTGTTATACATCAAACTCTCCTCTCACTCAAAATGTCAAAATATGACAGATTTGAGGTTGAGTTTTAGAAACTGAAGTTGTAATATTTTATGTTTAAAGTTTAAGTTGCACGATAGGAGGTATTTGATGTCAGTTATCTAAGAGTTTGTTTTTCTTTTATAAGGGTGCAGTCTGCATGTTGGTATCGGTTTATATCAGTAATTAAGACTGTACTGGAAATTGGTAAAAAAAAAAAAAATTAATAAGAAGTAGACATCAAATGCCCCTAGTTAAAAATCACCATGGCTGTTGTAGGTGGGACTTTCAGCTCTGGCTCTCAAAATACAACATGGCGGTGCGCGTAAACGAACAAAATTCTGCAAAACTCTTGAAAATCTTCCTGGAAATCTTTTGCAGTTTGTGAGTCCAGCTCTGGGTTGAGTATTCATCTCTGAGAGCTTTTCTCTGTTATTTGTGCCATTGTGGTGGTTACGTAACTACATGGCGTCCTAGTCATCTTTGGCTGCCTCTCTTAAGTCCTTTTAAAAATGCAGCCTAACAGTTTTCAGTCGTTCTTTCCATCTCTTTCCACTCGAGTCTTGTGACGTTTCCTGTAGTGTTTTCTCTAATCTGACAGCTTGCTTCCTCATTCAATTAGTAAATCTAACTAGATTAGCATCTATTTGCCCAAGCATACCATGGTATCCATCTGCTGCCTTAAAAGTCTAAAACGGATGCAGTGAAAAGAGGAATCATTGATTAAGCTTTGATTGACTGTTTAGCAGTGGCACAGTTCTTCTCAAAATATTGAACAACTCAGAGTTTTTTCCTCTAAATCCTCAGACAATCTTATTCTAGGATAGATCCAGAATGTTAAGATGTTCCAAAATGGATTATTACACAGCACAGTAGCACAGCAACAAGATGCATCGTAGTTAAACTACATCATTAATGCCTCTCAAGCAAAGAACCCCATCCAACTGAAGGCCGGAGTGTTAGTGTAGTTCATATCTGACCATAGCTGATTGAGTTTAAGATTTTTACAATGAAATAATCACAAAACAGTCTAATGGCAGAACCATCAATGTGATTTTCTAGGAAATGCAACTAATTTTCAACCATGAGGTTTAGACAGTCACTCTGTCTAGCACCGCAGCACACAACAAAGTCACCAGCAGAATCACATAAATATTGGAGGTCATCATATAATTATTATAAATTATTATGAAACACTGTAAACATCAGAAAATGCCAGAAAATATTTCTAATATTGTTCTGATCTATTTGGGGCTATTGTGAGACCTTGTTGAAGCCTAATATTACTGTTCCTTTTAATGGAAAGTGAATGCTGGAGCTGTTTGTTGGACTTCTCTAATAAACCACTGTTAAAGGCAACTTGCCATTCTGTATGGTGTTTTAGTTCTGCACAAATGTTACAGTAATAAGTAATAATATTAAATTACCTCTCTTAAAGCTTCTGGTGCACAGATCAATAAGAGTGCTTTTCTGCAGAGATCTACAAACATCAGAGACCGTGTTCAAATTGTCAACAGTCTGCAGTTTGTGGTTTTTAAGAAGTTTATTTTATTTTGGAAAGTCAGAGAAAGCTCCTTGGTCAATTTGTCCGATGATGGTTTGTTTTTCTAACTGCCGCTGCGCACCACTGCTGAAAACGCCGAAAGACACTTATGGTGCGTTCAGTCCACCTCGGAAAAATGAGGACATAGCAGGCAAACTATGAAGTAATCAATGCAACCATGATTTTTATCAACGATAGACATACAAGCAAAGATATTTTGCAGTTTAGCCATCAGTTGTAGCCAATGTCCACTGAAGCTACCTGTGCATTTGCATCGCTAATGTAATGAACAAACTATCAGTCCAGATCAGTAAAATCTCTCCATCCCTACTAAGAAGCCACGGCATCCTTTTCTTGTACTCTAATATTGGGTGAAGAAGGCTAGAGGCTAACGTTGAGCTAAAATTGCAAACAGTGAAACAGAAGCAAACTGTGTGCTCTAAAAATATTTCCAGCTACTTTTTCACTTACCAACAGCTTGATGTTACGGTGAAATGTATGAGTTAAGTGAGTATTGAATCAGTCGTGGCACATTACTGCCTTTAATGAGTCATTCAGAACTATAGAAGCAAACTAACCGCAACCGGCTAACAACTGCAACCCCCTCATGTTGGAGGCAAACTACCGTAATAAGTGTATTAATGACTCATTACTGTAAAGCACTCAGGAGTGCTAACAGCAATGTATTTATAGGATTATCAACTTACTTTGTGTGACTCTTCTTGGTTTTTCATCTAAAATCTTCTAGTGGTGGTCTGTAACTGGCAGCAGCCATGATACACACTGTAACGATTAAATGTACATATTATTTAATGAACCATAAAATGGGAGATTCCATAGAAACTATGAAATCAATCTTATGGACCTTTGGGTAATTTTGGATAATTTAAACCAGAAGATTGGAACTTTTTATTGCAGGGATTATGTAACCACTTCATATTAACTCAGAGACAAAAGAAAGAGAGTCAAGTTTTAAAAGTTTAAAGACTTATTACTAAACAAATTAAAACTAGACTATTTTTAAACACTAGATGTATGGTGTAACTAAGGTGAAGTGAGACGGAGAATGGTCTAGTGTGGAATGTTGTTCAAAACCAGCAAATCCGGAGAAAAGATTAGTTCTGATGGGAGTGAAGATGATGTCTTTGCGCTAAACTTTTGATTTGGAGATTTATAACACACATTGAGACGCCATTCTGCCAGCCTACGTACCCTTTGCGGAAGTCCCCATTAGATCAGGAATGTCGAGGTCCAGCTTGACCTTCTCTGGTTAGGAAAAGCAGCGGTTGCCGACCAGACCAGTCTTGAGATACTTCCGGGTCACGACAGTTTTATTGGCATCTAGCAAGACCCAAAAAGGGGTTGTGATGGTTCAGTTTTTATTGTGAAAGGAACCGTTGCAGCAGGTGGAACAGCAACAGATTTTATCCAGCTTGTCGTTAGGTTCTTTCGGCTGAAGAGGAAAGTTACGGATTGGCCACTCCGACAACTTCTCTCAAAAGCTTTGAACTCTAGTTTAAGCTGATGTGGGTATAGTTTTATAATTTGGATGCTTTGATTTACGGTCGAATCAAAAAGGGACAGCTTTACCAAGCACCACCAAAACCACGCCTCCGTCAGATCTGGAAGGTTCTGATTTGGATCAGTAAAAGCAATGTGTCATGTGACTTTTAAGCATTACGTGCGATCAGTCTCTAGTGGAAATGTTTAACGTTATATTACTTATTAAAATCTACCAATCATAAACATTGTCATTTCACAGATTGGTTCACATTTATTATTGGACTAACACATTGTTTGATTAGCTTTATTAAAAATAGAGTTCTTCTGATTATTAAAATAAATAGTTCTTTGTCTTCATTCTTCTCTTGAGCTGGAAGGGAAACAGCTTTAGAAACAAATGCATGAGACCTTGAGCAATATCTCATGCAGATTAGTTCTGTGTCAGAGACATCTGAGGAGAGAGGATAAATAACCTTCGGTGGAATAGCTCCTTCATCACTTTACAGCACAAAACTAGAGTGAGATAGTAACTTTCTGTTTATAAGAATGGACTGCAGTACCACATTTTGACCACAGGATGTCATACTTATTTCATCCCTACATATTTCACCTTTTAATGTTCTAATAGTCTGGCCCTCGCACAACAATTCTGGTTTCTTCTACAGTTTAAGTGCTTTATTTTGTATTGGGCTTAACCAATTGTAGATTTCCTTTCATCATGATGTTAAATGGTCATTTAAAAGTGTGACACATTCAACTCAATGGATAATTTTACTTCCTTTTCAGTGCACTATTTGTATACTAATGACAACCATGTCTTTAGTTAATTTTGTTAGTTTTTGCACATTTCCAGTTAGGTCCCATTAAATGGTTGCAAACTTTAGTTTTCAGGAGGTTAACTTTGTCTATTGGGTTGTTAAATTTTGACTGCACTGCTGATCTATGTCTTGTGGCAGCTGATTATGTAAGGACAAAATATAACATTTTAGTTGTTATCATATTTAAATTTACTTAAATGATAAAAAGTATAAGTGTCTAACTTACTTTGTTTTTTTGTCAAGAATTATATCGACACTTGTGCTTTGATTTATTTTGTTCAGGTGGGCGGCGTCGTTCTGAGCCGGACGAGGCGGAGCTCCTGAGGGTCAGCAAGCGATTGGTTGAGGATGCTGTCAATCGTGCCTTGCAACAATATAAACAGGAAACCCTTCAAAACGGGGGCGGACCTAATGTGGCAGCAGTTCAGCCACCTGGGAGCACCGAGGAAACTCCTACAAAGACGGACACTACAGCTAACTCGTCCACAGACAACAGGAAGTGACATCCTCAGATGGAGACAACACAGACTGGAAAAACCCAGAAAGCATTCGCCAGGCGTGGCGGGCCAAGAGAGAAGTCAGTAAGACCTGCGCTCAGAGCCCGAACCAGCCAACCGGTGGGCACACATGCTCACCAGTTAACCCTGCTACACCAAACCAATACCAAACCTCTTCAGGCTGGCGATTGTTCCACCTGAGCTCACTGCACACAGTCAAATGGACAATGTAGCTTTAGTCCAACACCAGGCCGCTGACTGCTGTCCAACATCTAACACCAACAATACAACAGGTTTTACTGCCCTTTCTGAATTAAGATTCTATTTTGTAGAAATGTTAGTTTAACATCACCTGCATTTGAAACAGAGTCGATGAAATCCTTAAAGAGTGTCAGGTGAGGAAAGCATTTAATGTTTTTGTTTTCTGAAATGATGCGTACCATCATCACTGATATATTCAAGGCCTGAGGTGGACCGATTCTTTCAAATTTGGAGTGAAACGTGGTTCAGGATGTTGGTTTTTGTTAGTCAGTTGTCTTAAACTTCCAGCCATTCATCACCCATATCAGATACCTCCCTCAGCTGGGCGTTAAGTGTTGCATCATCTAAGTTCAGCCCTGTAAGACAATCACGAGTCAGCATTAAAATCCCAGCAATCTAAGTGATACCAGCTTTTAAACCTGAACTGGACTTTAGCTTAAGAATTATTTAGCTGTGTTGAAAACACTAACCTAACTCAAGTTGACAGGGATCCGTTAGCAAACATAGTTACACAATAGGTCGCCAATTGTAATGTAATCAGTGCCAAAAGCGACACCTTCCTGTCTCTTGAATCACCTTTTAAGGTTCTTTGTTATGTTTTTGCAGTGAAATGAATTTTGAAGACCAGATCATGTTATCTGTCATTTACATTTTAGATTTATTTGAGAGTATTTTTTTTTTTTGTAACTGATCAAAGAAGTTTTGTTCTATAGTACTGTAGAAATAGTTGAAGCTTGGGAGGTAAATTCAGACGTTTGCTGCACTAAAATGTATGGAAGAGGATTAGGGCCACTGAAAAGAAAAGAAAGTGAATTCTGACTTTGATCTCATAATTCTTGTGATCCTGAGAAAAAAAAAGTCAGAATTCGAGAATTTTTTTTAAGTCAGAATTCTCTTTTCTTTTCTTTTTTTCTGTGGCCCTAATCCTCTTCCGTAAAATTAAAAACCCAGATCGAACCTAAAGTTTTTCTTTTTGCTGTTTGTGGCTCTACAGCTTTCTTACAAGTATGAAAAAACATAAGCCTCTTGAAGGTGAGGTTCATGACTGAATTTGTTCATATAGGCAAAACAGTGATAATTTTATTATTTTTACCTGTTTGTTTGCTTTTCTGTTAAAGCTGAACCAATTTTGTCAGTAAAGTATGATTTAATGTGGGGAAATTATTTGATTTTTAAAACCAGAGGAAACAGTTTTTGCTTGTGAAAATCTTAGAAGCACAACAATTTAAATGAATTTTTTAAATGTTTTGATCTCAGACTTCCAAATAGATGCTGTTAAATCAGATCACTTGTTCTGAAAGTGGCCTGTCACTTTAACACGTGTGTGATTCTTGTTTTTTTGTGACGAAGCACGGAAGGACATACTGGGATTTGCCACAGTCTCCAAAATGTCAGCCTGTGGCTCAGGTTTTGAGATTAAGTAAATTGTTTAAATCATGTCCGCCATCAAGCAGAACATGCCTCACGTCTGATTTAAGGAGTATTTCTTTGATCTTTTTCACTAAAGCGCTGTCACTGTGGCTGATTGAAACAGCAGTGGATTCTGACTTAAGGTGGACTTTGAAGACTTTTGATGTTTTATTGTCACCAGATCCTTAATCTCCATGAAAAATCCCCTTTAATACTGCTGGCCTGTTCATGCCTCTCAGAACACTCCTGTGTGTGTGTGTGTGTGTGTGTGTGTGTGTGTGTGTGTGTGTGTGTGTGTGTGTGTGTGTGTGTGTGTGTGTGTGTGTGTGTGTGTGTGTGTGTGTGTGTGTGTGTGTGTGTGTGTGTGTGTTCAATCCTGTCTGCATAAATCGGAACACTTAGTCTGCGTGTGCAAATGACTGTCCAAATAAGCCTCTGTTGTTTGTCTTTCCATGTGTCCACATGTATGTTGAGCGGCGTGGCTGTGATCTTTGTACCGTGTGTGTTTGTGTATCTTGTTCTGCCATGTTTGAACAATAAAACAATATGAGATACTAAAACAGCGACATCTTGTCTGCCTACTGGGTGTATGCCTGCTGCGTTGTGCTCAGTGTCGCTCACTGCAAAGCTGATTGTGTTGCTGGTATCAATGCAGTGACTTTTTTTAATGCTCTATTTTACCATATACATCACAGCCAGATGGTCCAAGCCTCGTTTTGGTGTTTGGATTTAGCTCAATTTAAAATCTGCCTGTTTCACACCCACGCGTGTGTTGGTGAGATGGAAATAGACACAAATATGTTATGAGTTTCCTCCGTAGGGTGGGCGGGCTCAGCCTTAGAGATAGGGTGAGGAGCTCGGACATTCGGGAGGGACTCAGAGTAGAACCGCTGCTCCTCCGGATCTGAAGGAGTCAGTTAAGGTGGTTTGGGCATCTGGTCAGGATGCCTCCTGGACGCCTCCCTGGGGAGGTGTTTCGGGCATGTCCTGCCGGCAGGAGGCCTCCGGGTCGACCCAGGACACGTTGGAGAGGTTACATCTCCAATCTGGTCCGGGAACGCCTTGGGGTCCTGCTGGAGGAGCTGGTGGAGGTGGCCGGGGAGAGGACGGTCTGGAGCTCCTTAGTTGGGATGCTGCCCCCGCGACCCGGACCCGGATAAGTGGAGGAAGACGACGACGATAACGTTTATGAAATTAAACCAATGGGTTCAAACTAAATAACAAACCAGGCCAAAAATATTATTTCATGTTATTTATTTGTCTTATTTGTTTAGTTTTTAAAGCTCAATTTTTAAGTTGTTAATTTAAAACAATCATTTAAATATAATTAAACAATCTGTGTAAAAGCACTAGAATGTGGGAAATGACATCTGCTCACTAAAACCTTTCTATGGCAGCCCCCCAGACCAACACCCCATCACCTGATGTCCTCTCTCTGTTTGTCTCCGTCCACAGAGCTGAGGACAAGACTGGGACGTGTGGCTAAACATGTCTCACCTTTTAAACCCGTGACCCGTTTTAGTGACGGTGTGTATTTTACCTGGTGATAGAGGACGGTACATACCTAAATAATTGCAAGCAAGCTGCATTTTAGTTTTAAGACCTCACCAACGGTCAAAGATCCCTGGGAGTGCAACCTCGAGTAAAATGACGAGCACATCAGACTCTTTCATCACTGGCAGCAAGTGAAGAGGTAAATGTGTAAAACAACAAGATTTATGGTGAACGTTTTGTAACCATTTTTTACAAATCAGTAAATGCATTTTGTCCTCACAGGCTCCTGTAGAAGGAAACATGCCTTATGGCATTGGCCAGAGACTCAGACCCGCTCTTCTGTATTTTAGACCCAATTTTTATGGTTATATGTTACAAAGCTGCCAATATTTTTCAACAACTGGGCAACGTTTAATTCCTTTTGAACATTTTGATGGATCTTTCCAGATATTAATGGTAAAAACTACACATTGTCCCTCTTTACAAACTTACTGGAAAGGTATGAAGCAGATTAGTTCCTCCATTGTTTAAAAATCAAAAAAAGATTAATATTATTTGGTCGGCACTCTTGCTGACCAGCAGGAAGTGCCACTGAGGATTTGTCACTGTCCATGAGTTAATTATTGTCAACACAAATGGCTGGAAAAGCTTCAGGGATTCAAGAAGCTTCATCTGACTTTCAGTGGACCCTTGGTGGGGTGAGATCAGGTCCTGATGGTCCAGACAAACTCTGAGATCCTTTATCCAGCATGTTTTAGCTTTCTCCCTGCTCAAACACACTTGATTTAAAGACACACTTGGCAGTTTGGTTGCTTTTAGTGTTGCTTCTAGTGTCCGTTAATAATATCTGTGGTTAAAACGAAAATTAAACATATCCTCGCTGTGCGTTCATGTTTTAACACCTTAATCTAACAGCTGAAATGTCTCCCCAGCCTTCCTTGGTGTCTACAGGAGGGGTCATCACTAAATTAAACAAATCAGCTGTGTTCCTGATTTAAAACATGCAAGAAACGTGCTGGAACCAGACTGCAGCAATAGATATGTCAGTCCCAACAAAGTAGCCCACCAGTCTGAAGTTGCAAATGTGGTATTCTGGCCACAGGGGGCAGTGGGGGTCTGAGTGACATTTTGTTCATTCAATCAATCAATCAATCAATCAATCAATCATACAATCAATCTGATTTTATTTAGAAAGCGCTTTCCAAGCAAAGTGTGACTCAAAAGGGCTTTACAGAATTAAAATTACCCCAAATTACCATAGCAGTTTAAAAGCATTAACATACACACACACAAACACACACACAATCACGTCAGTAAAAATTTATATTCAGCTGAGTCCAGATGAGCCAAGTAAGGTAAGGCAAGGAAACGCCATCAGAGGAGCCGTCTGCCCCGGCAGCATCAGGTCTTCCACAGCAACTGAAGCCCCCTTCAGACAGGCCATGAAAAACGGAAATGTTCCGGACTCTGTCCGTAAGACCTTTGTGCCTGAATACAAACATCCAGATAACGTGTTCCGGAATTTATCCGGACGAAGCCCCTAGTAACAGGTCCGGACTTGTTACGGACAGGGTGGCTGATTCAGACTGGTGAGGTAAAGTTCCGGACAAGGGGGAGGGGGAGGAGGAGGGGACCGGGGGACGCTGTGCGCACCTAGATAGCCCGCTGCTGTAGCATGCGGCGAACCATGGCAGCTCGCCTCCTACGGTACCGCCTAGACGCGCGACGGAGCGCTTCACACCGCTTCAGTGATTCCTTTAACCATTGAGCTTCATCATCCAGGTCTCTTAAGCATCTTCGTGTGCGCAGAATTATGCTTAAGCGCCTCGTGATTTTTATCTTGAGAGGCGCTATAGAAATGATATTTTCTTCTTCTTCTTCTTCTTAACATGAGTCCGATTCTCTCTCCCCCACCACCACCCCCGCCGCCGTCAGACATCTGGAACTTTTCCCTGCTGTGTGAACGCAGCCGAAAGGACAAGTTCCGGTACAAAAGTGGTGTGTCTGAAAACACAGTTCCGGTTAAAAACCGGATTGAATTGTCCACAAATGTTCCAGAATGTCTGTCTGAAAAGGGCTTGAGCCAGAGCGCTCAGAGGAGGGAGAGCACAGACCCCCACCTCCACTCAAACACTACCTGTAGAGCGCCCAGGAAGCAACAGTCGACCTCTTCCCCTGGGGCAGAGGGCCCCTACAGAGAAAACACTGGATTAAAATGAGTTAAAATATAAAAATAAAAGAGCTGATATAAATGACAAAAGTAAGAACATAAATAATAAATAAAATCGTATGGACAGTAAAATAATATAATTAAATAATGAAACAGTGCTAAAATATAGTCATATAAAATATGCAAGGCAAGTAATAAAATATCATGTCGAACGAGAAATTAAATTAGAATAAATAATAACCTTGTAAAGGGTCCTTTTAGCAGATACAGGCTCAAGAAAATGATTTTCAAATATGAAAAAGTTGCATAGTTTGTTTTTTATGGATGATTTACTTGTTCAGCAGGTCATCACTTCAAGTCCTATTTACCGGCCTATATGTCTGAATCGATTCAGGTGTGACACAGAGAATAAGTAATTCAGTCATTGAAACAGGTATGTGTCCTGGTTATTTATGAGTTATAAAATAATGTCTACATGATTCATAATGAAAATTAAGTTATTTTACAACTGTAGAAATTCCTCATTTCACTTGTTCATGCTAAAACTAGCTGCTATTGTCCTGATTTCTACAAAGTGACGTTTTTCATACCTGCAACGTTTTCATGATTTTTGCTTTCAGATGTAAGTTAAAGGTCAAAAATAAAAACAAGGATTTTTAAAAGAGGAGACTCAGCAGTCTAGTTGGACTCTTGAGGCTCCAAAGTTTTATTACTGAATGAATGCTGCTTCACTGTAATTTGAATGTTCCACAATCACCAAAATCACACAGAGGTGTGTGTTTTTTACCTTCTTCATGGCTGGTTTTAAAGAACAAAAACAAGAAGTAATTAAAAAAGCCAAAAAGTGTGCTAACCGTGTTGATGATGCTGTTTGAGTCCTGCAGCAGGAGAGCAGTCAGTATGATTCTTAACATTCTACAGATAACAACAATCGTCCTTTTCATGGCATTTAAAGCAATAACCGCAGACTTGGATGCTGTCAGATGGCATAAAAACACACGGGTTAAGAGCAGCGCTGCTGTGTTTGTGTTTTTCCTCTGTAATGTCAGGGAGGTGGGGGTGAAACCTCCGTGAAGATCTTACAATTCACAGCTTCCCTCCAAAAGTGGGAAAACATGGCTAAAGGGTTTTATTAATTAGCTGACCTGTCCGCAGCTCAGAGTGACTCAGCAGAACTCAGACAGGATTAAACAGCTTGTGAACAATGACAAATGTATGATGTGTTCAAGACCCGAGGGCGGTTTGAGAGCATATCACTATAAGCACCTGTCCAGAAATGACTAGGATTGCATAAGAACAGATGGGTTACCAATTTACTGGTCTGAGTCACATTAGAATATAAATGTAGATGCTTTAGTTCTGTCACATCTTGAAATTTCAGAATTAACACCATTTTTATTGTGTAATGCTTAATTTAAAATTCAATACAATTTATCTGCTATTATAAATATTGTAAATATAATAAATACAATATTTAATGGGGGGATGTGGGAATATAACTGTTGGTTGAACTTCTGGTATCCTATATTCTTATTCTTCAGTTGTGTTTGAGAATTATTTTAGTTTTGTCATCAAACCAGTGTTAGATGGTACAGCAGGATGCAGGTGTGCCTCAGGGCTCTGCTTTAGGCCCCCATTCTTCACTATCTACAGTACTAATGTGGAAGAGTTTCACTCTACGCTGATGACACGTTTTTTTTGTTGTTGTTGTTGTTGTTGTTTTTTGTTTTTTATAGACTGTTGAGTTTTACACACTCCCTGTCACCAAGAACATAACTAGAAATCCATCAGAAACTTTGGTTTTATTGCACATGTCAGAATGGGTTTGATGTTTTGGAACAAGAATGTTAAAAAAATAGATTCCAAAAACATCCTTAGAGGAACACTTGTACTGTGAGTGAA